ACAACAAACCAGAATAAGGACATTGATTGTAAGCCGCTTAAAGTTATGATTCGTCAATTCCTTATATTACATATATCCTTGCTCTTTCACCTGTCTATTAACAATTCGATTGTTGCTTAGAGAAAGTTTGTTTATCCAACAAACTAAAAAAAAGGAAATCATATGTGTTGTGAAGCATGAAACTCTTTGGCCTTCTGCTTTGGATGAAATGTGTCATGATTAAAAAGATTGCAGGGAAAAAATGAAACTTACGGAGAGAGAGGAATCCGTAACTGTGTAATGAGATTTATCTGTTCGAGCCATGAGATATTTTAATAGAATCCTCATGCTTTATATAGACTTGGATAGATATATGGGCTACTAGGTTGGATGGCTGTCGAGTTTAGTACTGGTAAATGATGTGGTATCATATCTAATTATCTTTCTGATAAGATTATGTGGAACTTGCTTAGCGTTGTTGTTCACTTTATGCTTTCCCGTGGTATGATCATAAATATTGTAGTTGCTTCTTTTCTCCTTTTAAGGGATTGTATGTTCATTTAAGATTTACAATTATAATCTCAATAAGGTTTATGGAATGGCCATAAGGAAACTAAATAATCTGCTTGAATCTTCATGTTTATGGGTGATAAAACCTTTGATCGAATCATCTTCCCTCGAGGGATTTCTTGCATTATATAGAAAGAGTAAACCTTATACAACTCGGGTATCAATCTAAATATGATAGATGTAATCAACCTAAATATGGTAAATAAAATTGTATACATGATTATGTCAAGTCATAATCTTCGTCAATCTTCGTGATCTTCGTCAATCTCTGCGATCTCTGTTGATCTCATTGACATCCCTCATCAAATTAATGTTAGACGATCAAGAAACATCAATTTGTTGACTGATGTACAAAATAACTCAAAGGCCCAGCTCAATAATCCATATAAAAAGTAATTAAATTCATTAAATAACTCCAATATCGGACCTCTAAAATAAACCTTCTTCAACTCCATAAAAGCTTGCATTGTAAGCAAGCAAGCTTCAAAATAGGTTTGGGATGGCTGGAATTGCACCACACTCGACGCATCGAAGAGTCACACGTTGACAAAAATTCTGTCAACCGTAGATCATTATAAGAGTCACACGTCGACAAAAATTCTATCAATCGTGGACCACCGCAAGAATCACACATTGACGAAGATCACGGAGATTGACGAATATTATGACTTAACATAATTATGTATATAATTGTATTTAGCATATTTAGGTTGATTACATCTACGATATTTAGATTGATATTATAGTTGTATAAGGTAATACTCTTTCCTTGAGAGATTCCGAGCATTATCTTATACAACTATCATATCAATCTACAGAGTATTACCTTATACAATTGTGATATCAATCTAAATATGGTTGATGTAATAAACCTAAATATGGTAAATATAGATATATACATAATTTTGTTAAGTCATAATCTTCACTAATTTTCGTAATCTTCATCAATCTCCATAAGGCATAATCTCTATCGATCTCATTGACAATGGTAGCTCCCCGAGGACAAATTTCAGAGCATATGTGAGAATAGTGGGTGGTATTACGCATGAGAACTTCCAGCCGATATTTAGAAGCAAAAGTTGTTAATTTAATTTTTAAATATATAGTTCAGATAAGAAAGAGCTCAGTTGGCGTCAAAGTTAAGAAAAAGAAAGTTCAGGTTTTATTCATTACTGCCTGATCGTGTTTTCCTTATATGAAGCAACTTTGTTTATTTTTTTGAATGACTTGTCATTTGTCAGGGGTTCTAATTGTAGTGAATAAAAACTCTGATGCTCGGACTCCTCGAAATGAATGAAGTACTCGTATCGACACGACACAACATGGGTATGAAAGTTTCAATCGGACACTTTGTCTTTTCTGCTTCTTTTTCTTCTTTCTTCTTTTCCCCTTTTCTTCTTTCTTGTTTCTGCTCTCGATAAATCTAGCGCTGCCGCCAAGACAGTGGAGGAAGGCGACGTCGCTAGGTTTTCCCCTATTTTTCTTTCATTTTTTTTCTTTTTTCCTTCTTTCCCTCCATGTATCGATGGTCTAGGGTTTTCTTTGTATAAAATGAAAATTGATTCCATATAGTGCTACTTAGTGTTCCACTAAGTCTAAATTACAATCAAGTTTCTCATTTTTTATTTTATATAAGATTTAGTAATTACCTTCCCTTAATTGAAAACTAAACCTCAAAATTCTATTTATTCGTTTGAACCCCTTATTCAATATCATTTCTTTCTTTGTTAACAATTAATTTTATTCTATTTAAAATGATATCTTGGATTAATAAAAAAAATTGAAGTTTGAAAGACGTCCACGTACCTGTGTCCGAAATTTAGAATTTTTTTAGCCATGCTCCCGTATCCTATAGCTTAGAAAATAAAAGATCCGACACTTAGATACATACCCATACTCGATACACGTACCCGAGTTCGAGTCCGAGCATCAATGAATAAAACTGTGTTGCACATGTTTGTTTAAGACGCGTTTTCCAAGCATGGGTTAACAGTTGTTCCTCCTTTGATAGGGTTATAGCAGTTTAAATCTTGCTTGGAGAAGCCAGATGCCATTAAATATAAGATGCAGTTAACATTGCTCTCAATTTTGTGTGCAGTATGATATGCCATTACTGGGGTGAAGAGCATGGCATGCTGGAAGATGAGGACGATGCTGAAAGGGAACTTCAAAACACAGAAAGAAGTTCCTCAATTGACCCTTCTCATTTGCCGTATTTGATTTTGTGTTGTTCATTACAATGAAAGGTTTGGTTCTTGATCTTTGAAAGAATATGTATTTGATGCGCGGGCACATTTTATTTTGTTAAATAGTCGTCTTTGAAAGATTTGTGCAATTCTGAACGCAAGGCTGATGCCCTTTTAAAACTTTTGTGCACAACCTTTCTATATGCCTAACACTTGGATGCCAGCCAAATACGCTTGATGATAACAACCCGTGATAATAGCATTATTTTAATACTAAATATTCCGCGACCCTCCGATTTCTTTGTGTTGTATCGAGCTGTATCGGGTACATCTCAATTTTGAAGTGACTTGAAACAGGCACGACTCATGTCTTTGAGTTGTACTAATGGTTGGACATGGAACTAGAACTCTGCTAAAACAGTTCAATTTTCTGATAATTTTTAATTTCTATTACTCTGAGATAGAGCTTCAAATAATTTCTTGTTCATTTTTTAATAAACTTTTACTATTAAGATTTTTTTTTAGTTACATCATGTTTTTTATACATTTTTATTTACTAAACTCATTGTAAGTACAAGGACATAAACAACCACCTAATTATACACTGTATCCATTTTTTTACTATTTTATTTTTATGTACACCACAATTTCACACATGAAATTTATTTAGTACTCATATTAATTTCAGTGTTATATGGAGGAATTCTTAATTTTCGACGTTGATTGCGAACGCAATCCACAGATATCCATTCAAAATTCTTCTCCTTGACCACTAAAAATGTAAAATCCCTAACGTGAACTTTTATGTAACATTATTGGGATTCCTAAGGCATTATCGACCCCTATTTGGTACACATTTTTTTTTATGTGATGGAAAATATGTGGTTAAAAAAGAAAGAAAATTTATTGATGTGATGAAAAATATTATTTTATTGAACAATATGTGATTAAAAATGAATATAAGAATGAAAATGAAAAAATAATGTGGCCAAATAGGGGCTCAATCGTGAAATGCTTCACGTACATAAGCAAAACAAACAGGAATTTTAAAGAAAACACACATGTGGGTCCCGCATAATTTTATTTTTTTTAAATACACGGTGGGCCCACCCACCGTGAGCATCTGTGTGTTTTCCGTAAAAAAAAATTATTGTACAAATTGGAATAATGCTTATCAATATAACGGTCAGTAAACATGACAAAATGGTACAAGGATTCTTCTAGCTGCCCATCCTTCGTCTCCCACGTCTCATCTTAAATGACACGTACCGGCTTCAACTTGTCCAGTGACACGTGGCACAAATCCATTACGCTCCCAAAACTCTATATAAATGTCAGTCTTCCCTGAATTCTCTGAAATCCATTTTATGAAATATGGAGACAGTTCTATCTAGTTATTATGTCAAAACTCATACTTATCAATTCCCAGTTTTACTTAAACCAAAAATAAGTAATTATTCTTCCATTCATCATAAGCCTTTATCTTCTCTAATTTTTAAATCCTATAGGAGTTTGAAGTGTTGTAAAGGGGGCACTGGAGGTTGGGAACTGGAGAGGAAATTGCAGAAGGAGTTGAATATGGAAGAAGAGATTGTAGGGAAATGGAAAGAGAATTGCAGAGAGAGTGGTGGGGTGGTTGAGCTTCTGGAGTGCTTAGAAAGAGAAGCAATCATGGGGGAAGATGAAGGGAAAGAGGCAACTGATTACAATAGGAGGGCCCAAATCTTTGACAGAAGTTCTAGAGTTTTCAAGGCCCTAAAAGAAACCGCTTCTTCTACGGATGATTCTTGAATTTAAGTACTTCAATTGGCTTATTTATAATTTACTTATTTTTCCTTTTGCTTTCTGCTTTTTCCTCCTTGTTAGATACAGGATGTTTGGGATTTGGAGATTTTTAAAATGATGTAGAATTATCCTTTGGATCTTGTATTATACCATGCTTGAAGGAAGTTGATGTACTCTTTTGAGTTAATTTTATTACTTCTAGTGTTTCAAGAAATGCATTTTCGTTTTCTTAAAAACAAGATTTTCAATAGATTTCGATAGGAAACATAATTGAAAAGTTAATAAAAGTTGCTGACAGTTAAACATGATTATGTACAGCTTATGCAGCTTCACAAATTATCACAACAAAGTAAAATTATGTATATATTAGGAACAAAGCATGGAAAAGAAACCTTATCCAAAACAAAAAAGTATGGCAAAGAAATACTAAGACAATACAATAACTCAAATATGAGGTTCTTACAATGGCTTCTCCTACAACTAACTAGCGTCTACAGAAAATACACCTTGTAAAGAATGAACTAATTAAGGCCAAAATCATAGTAAACAAGCAAACTTACCTAGCTAGTCATCCAACTTAAAAATCTACAAATTTAACAGAACTTCCAGCGGTTAATGCAGTTTACACACGTCACGAATGTGGTCATAGGTTCATCTGCACTTCGAGTTTGCATCTGGTAGTATGTAGTTTCCTTCTTCTTGCACCTACCACGGGTGAATTGGTCCGTACTGGCCTGTGGAGGCGCTCCGCGCTCGCATTCAAACAGTGCTTTTTGTTTGATTTTTTCATTCTGAATTTGCCTCGCATCACTGGCCATTTCTTCTGGTGTCAGTTCGAGGATGGCACGTGGCTCAAACTGCCCGAGGAGGACCTTTCTACAAAAATCTTGATTTTTTGGATCCTTAATATTGAACATTATCGATCTATATTTCATCTTCTGAGCACCAGTGGATTTACCCCACTTCTCGAACATTGCAGTCTCCACTAGAACAGCCACTCGATAAGGATCAGATGCACTCACTTGATCTCTTAGATCATCATCGACCTCGCTTGAGACTTTGCACAGGGCCTCTGCAAGAAGTTCCCGGATTTTGTCCCTCACCGAGTCCTTACAATAAACAAGAGAAGTCAGCCTTGGAGGACCAACGGGGTCTGATGCCAGTTTTTGCCTATCAGAACTCGGCTTATCTTCTTTAATTCTTTTCTCATTCTGAACAGATTCTCCAGCAGCATTCTTTGGTGTCTGGACATCAACCCTCTCAACTTTTTTCCCATTCGTGGAAGTTTCCGACTTCATTAACTTCTCAGAATTTGGTGTGCCAGTCGGATTACTTCTCTTCACCTTCCCATTCCCATTATCTATTGAGTTCCCCTGCTCAACCTTGACAGAGCTAGTCCTTTGAAACTTCCTGCTCTCATCAGTTTCAGCACCCATTGGTTCAGCTTTTACAGAATCCTCATTATCAACACTTCCATTCTTCTTGTTGTTCATTGTTTCCTTGACAATTATATCCTTCCACACGTCAACAACATCAGAAGCCAAAGCCTTAATCTTCTGGCTTTTATGTTT